GGTAAGCACTTTAAAGGAGATGTACATGAGTGCTATGGAAGCCAATAATAGGTGAGCTAGGTTGATCAAAGAAGGCTTCCCTGAAGAAGTGATACTTGAGCTGTAAGATGAATGGGCATTAACACAATATTGTGATGCGTGGGAAGAGTTTGTGGCCAGCGACAGAGAAAGCATGGCCATTAGAAGAGAATAAGAGAAAGCTTTGTGGCTGGAATGCTGAAAGGGAAGTAGAATGTAGAGTGAAGAGCAAGGTAAGGCTGGAGAGGTAGGCGAGTCATCCTGTGTTGAACTTTGTAGGCCATATTACAGAATCATTACTTAATGCTGAGCAGTAGGAAACCATTGGAGATTTTAGAAGATGGAGAGGAAGTTAGTGGATGACCAGAGTAGATAGAAGACAACAGGTATATGGCTATTTTAATAGTCAAGGCAATTGATGATAGCAGTGGTGAGCACTACACATGAACTTCAGTGATTCTCAGGAAGTACAATCAATAGGACTTTGTGATTGTAACTTCATTTTAACTTGAGTGGCTCTGTGATGACCCTGTCTTCAAGTACGCTCACATACTGTGGAACAAGGGATTAGGATTTCAACATGTGAATGGGGGCGAGGGGCACAATTCAACCCATAACATACTCATCTCTTATTGGTGTCTACTCTTGATGAACTTGAAATTACAACTGATGGATTAGATTTTGGGAATGATAGATGAAGATGATAAATAATTTTTACTATATATATCCAGTTGGGTTGGATTTCATGATGAAAGTCATAGACACTAAATTGTGGCGCTCTAATTTTTTTCCCCTTATATCACAGTTGCAAAAAATAAAATTAGTTTCAGAATCATTCTTGGTTACTAATTTACTTTTTTTTAAAAAATAGTCAAGATGAAAAATTCTGTATCAGTAGTTGTACCTTTATTTATAAAGGTTTACTCTGCTTTATCATTATGTCTGATCACATAAGGGAATGTATGTATATAAAATATATAGTAAATAATATATTCCTCAGTCTAGTTTTGAATACGCTATAGAAGAAATTAAGGAGTAATATTACTTTAAAAAAAAAAAAAAACTCACATTATTCCTTAATAATACCCTATAGGCATTCAGTTAAAAGAAAACCAAAAGAATAAAATCAGTTGGGTACAGCAAGTTGCAGAAAGTTACCTTGGTTGGTTTTCTCTCTTTCATAGCATAATAAAATGAAATGGAATTTTATCCTGTTGTGTTTATTTTATGTGGCATCATACACTTTTACATAAAATTTTATCAAGCTTACTTTAGTAGTTCAGTTTTATTTTTCTGCGGTAGCTTTTACTTGTTATTTAAACAAATAATTCTTACCAACCTGAGTGTAATGGAACATTGAGGAAGCTGCATCTCTATTAAGATAGCTACTTGAGTAATAGCTTGAATGCCTAAGAAGGTAGCTGATCAAGATCATTTACCTGAGCTTGCCATGCAATGAGTGAATATAATTCAATGTAATAAATCATATAGCTATTTCACCCTCTTAGGCTTCTGTAGTTCACTCTCTGTGCATTTATAAATAAAGTTCCTATTTTTTTGTTTTTTGTTAAGAGCTAACAAAATTGGGTTTCAGATTACAATATTCATTTACAATGTCTAGTAGAAAAGTATGCATGTCTATTATATGCATGTAATTATCAACACATAGACAAGTTTGGGCATCATAAGCTTAATGAAAACACTCCTTTGTAGGAAAAGAACCATAGCTATTAAAATTGCAGGAATTTTAAAGCTACTTTTACTCTTTTGTTTAACAATTACATCACTTCATATTATAAGATAAAAGTAGCCTTTTTTACTTAAAATTTTAGTTTTTTATGTGTATTATATTTTACTCATAATGTTTGTTAGTATTTTGTTAGTAGAGGGTTCATTGAATCAGCCCAGCAATTTTAAAGCTTTGCAAGTGTTTTTTTATGTTCCCTGAGAAAAACCAGTGCATATGGATAAATACGTGTTTTCCTATATTTGATATTTTCATGGTCATTTAGCTGTCACAACCATGTAGCCATCATTGCCTATCTTTGGGTTTAGGAAAGACATTTTTAGGAAAGTTCATTTTAAGTTTAAATTCTATTTAACACTATACAGTTTTATTTGACTTATTCTTGTATACATTACTAACATTTATTAAAATACTAAATTAATTTAAATTGAATTGCATTCTCCCATTTATTTGGTGTATAACAGTACACTATCTCTATATGAAGTAAGTTCTTGTTTTTCAAGAGCTTAGATTTATGTTAGGAAGATACTATTTATATACATAATTAAAGGGCAGTACAAGTCAGCATAAGTAACAAAGTACTCACTAAGTCCAGTCAAATGTTTACATAGAGAAAATAGGGTTATTCCTGTAGCCACTCATTGAAAGATTGGGAATTCATTCAAGATATGATGAAGACCTTGAGAGTGGAGAAGAGTGGCAGCTGAGATAAATTCCAAAAGTCTTTAAGCTCTCTTCATAATATCCCTTTTTAAAGACTTGCCAGGATATCCTATGACCAGCAATGACCAGGTTATTTGCATATTGAGTATTTGATATATAATATATAACCTGGAAGAATCTGGTTTATTTCCAAAAATAATTTGCCATGACATTAATTTCTTTGTTGACTGAAACTGAATATTTGGAAAGCCATATGGTTTTGAAAATTGAGCAACAGACTAGCAAAAGGGAAGAGGAGAAATTATAATTCCAAATATCCTTAACTTATGCTGCTAAGTGGCTGCCTTCAATCTTGTGTAGTAACTTTTTAAATCAAAAGAATCCGTGCAAATATTATTAAATTGCATGGTTCAAAAGAACCAGTAGTAAACTAGAAGGCCCCTGTACTTTTTATTTCTATTTCCAGAGTCAATACTTTTATCATTTCTGTTCTTAGTTTTTCTGTTAATTACTTTCATAAGTATAAATCAGAAGTTGGCAAACTATGACCCATAGGGCAAATCCGTCTGCTGACCTGTTTTTTTTTTAAGGCCTATGAGCCAATTTTTTTTTTTTAAGGGTTGTTAAAAATCAAAACAACAAATTAAGATGAATATGTGACAGTAATCATATGTGATCTACAGAGTCTGATATATTTACTATCTGGTCCTTTACAGAAAAAGTTGAGACCTCTGATCCACATGGAGAGTGTGTGTGTGTGTGTGTGCATGCGTGTGCATGTGTGCACATTACCCATACATAGAAACATGCACACATATATACATATTTGTTAATTTGACTACCTAAACATATTTTTTACTCTATAAAAAAGACTGGCTTATAATTCATACTACCACCAATCTACATCTTATTGTTATTTCTTATATTAGTATTAATTCTTTCCTTGGTTACATTTGTAGCTTTAAATACTATACTAGTCTTTTAAGGAAAAAAAAAAAAACAAACCTCTCTTTTCTGTTCTAGCACGTTTGGGTAGGCATATAGATAGAGCTATAGGCCGTGGAAATTATCTTGGTTTTTGTCTAGATTTAGTCATATTTTCTAAATTTTGATCACTGAGACTAAATTTTGATCCCAGAAGTTAGCACATGTTATGCTCAGTAAGACTCTAATATTTCTTGAGTGTATGTTTGTGTGTATGTATGTATGAATGTGTGTGTATGTATGTATATGTAGGACAGTTAGTCTCTCAGGGGTCCCCACTGTCATATTTACAGAGGCCTAGATTGCTTTTTGCAGTAGATGTTGTAGTTGTATTTATCATTATACTTACTACATCACACAAAGTGAATCAGAACTTAAGTAAACTTATCTGATATTACTTGCTGAAATATCTTTCCTTTTAACTGCTGTATATACTTGGGTGAAACATTTTCTTGTGTGTGAGGTTAAAGTTGTTGCATTAGAGGTAACTTAGGCATTGGTTGCAGAGTCACATTTAGGTCACTAGACGCTCAGCAAATACTTAAGGAATGTCTTAATCAACCAGACACTGTGCTGCAAAGTAGCAGTGCAGTGGTGAACCAGTCATGGTTGCTGCCCTCATGGAATTTAATAGGAGAGATAGGCAAATAAACACTCCATCATATACATAAGCACATATATTTGCAAATTGAGATAAATAATTTGAAGGAAAAGAAGTTATTTGAGAAAGAAGCAGACAGTAGAGTTCTAAATCATGAAACTCTTTCAGATGACTATACAGATAATTAATGTTTAGTATCTTAAAATATTTTCATTCCTCTAAGGCAGTAGTTCTCAAACTTTTACATACATCAAACTCACAAGGAGTGTTTGTTAAAATGTGGCTTTTGGGGCTCCAAGTTCAAACTTTCTTATTCACTATGTCTGGAGGGCAAGAGGATTTGCATTTCTAATAAGTTCTAGATGCTGGGATTCTCCTGATGTTGGGAACTACACTTCAAGAACCACTGATCTAGGATAGTAGTTTTCAACACTTTGGAATCACTTGTAGAACTCTAGCAAAATGTCGATGCTTAGTTCCTGTGCCTGGAAATTCTGATTTAAAATTGTGAAGCTATGGCCTGAGTGTGGAGCTTTTTAAAATACCCTAGGTGATTCTCATGTACAGCCTGAGTTGTAAGTCTAGAACTTGAATATGTATATACATGCTATTCCTTAGTGGGGCAGAAAGTATCTAATCCTGCGTAGTGGTAAGAATTAGTGGAAGAGGTGGGGAGAAGGTGTAATAGAAGGCTTCATTGAAAATACAGAACTCGAACTAAGGCTAAAAGGAGTATGTATCAACATGATAACTTGACACAGAGAAAAGAGGATATGTCAGAAGAAATGGTGATGGCACACAAACATGTAGGAGTAGGTTTTGTGTCATAAATAACCTAGACTGCATTTCTGAAATGTAACTATTCTGATATTGAGAGTCTCCTATGTCAGAAACAGGATAATTTATTTTTAATAAATGAATATAAAGTAAGGATCATCTGTACTACATTCAAGTAATTTTTATCCATTAATATGTTCTATTTAATAGAATGAGAAGAAGAAACCGAAAGACCAGGAGATACGGAGTTTTGGACACTAACATAGAAAACATGGAACTGACACCTTTAGAACAAGATGATGAGGATGACGATAACACATTGTTTGAAGCCAATCACCCTCGAAGGTAAGTGTTGAGCAGAGTTTAATTTCATGAAACAGGAGGCATGCGTTTGACAAGTAAATTGAAAAAGTAGAATTTAATTTACCAGTTTTTACCCTAACAGATTTTATTCAGTTTTGTTTAATGCAGTTATTTGTGCTATCTAACCAATAGCTCACTTTTTTCCTGGGCTCACCCTACAGAAGGTTCTCCTTGGATAGGATGGGGGTAGAATCTTACGTATAATTCTTATTTTCTTTTAATTTTCTGCAAAACTTTCATAGTATTTAAAAAGTATAGTATTTGTAGTATTTTAAAAAACTAAATGCATCTGAGGCACCTCTTCTGTACATACACAGAATGGGAAGACAAAAAGGAAGTTGTTAACTTAGGGAGTCAAGGTTGTTTCCAAAGGGGAACTGAATTTGAAACCCATTTAATTTCAAGTGTGCTTGACTAGAGGCAAAGATTGTTGTAGGCAGAAGCAACTACCAAAGTTTAGCAGTTGTGACAGACAGTAGTTTGTTCAGTTAATACAGCAGAAATGTCTAGAATGCTGCCTGTTGTGTGTGCACATGTAGTTATACATGCGAGATTGGAAGGATTAGCTATGAAGGACACAGATGTACAGATTTTTTGGAGGAAACATGCAGAGTTTTGTAATCTGCTAAAGAGTTTGGTATTACCCTGCTGTCATTGAAGAACTATCAATGCTGTTTAGAGTGTACACAATCAGATAGTCAGATATTTGTTGTAGAATAATACCTCTTGTAGTAGTGGGGGAGGTGGCCTAGTAGAGATGAAGAGGGACAGAACTAGGGAAGGTAGGAGGGGCATAAAGAAGTGTATAGTTTCCATGAGATATAGTTACCTGTAGCTACCTTTTATTCTGTATCCTTTCTCTAATATTTATCCCTCTTTTATGCTCCACTTTTTATGAATATTACATTCTATTAAGGAGCTAGACATTAATCAGTTACATAAATGGAAAAAGAATAAGGGTAGGTGGTGTAAGAATTTATAACAGGGCCTTGGAACACTTAATCAAAAAATATTGGTTCAGAAAAGCCTGTTGGAAGTGATATGTAAATTGAAACCTGAAAAATTAGTGGAAATTAGCAGGGGCAAAGGTTGGAGAGAAAAAAACAGGCATAAAGTGCCAGAAGCAAAAGAGAATATAGAGTAATAAGGAACTAAAAGAAGTTAATTCTTTAATATAGATGCTATATTACCATGTGTAGAAATAAATGAATGAATGAATGACTGGCTTTTGAATTTTGAATGCAAAAGGAAGAGTGGTAGGTGAGGCAGAACAAAGAATCAGAAGATGGATTGTGATCCCTGTTAATCAGTTAGTAATTATTCCACAGCTAAGAAAAGCCACTAGGAAAAATTTAAGATTGGGAAACAGTCAAAAGTGTCTTTGGGGATTACTCTGCAATGGAGTGGAGAAGAGTAAGATAAGGAGTTAGGAAACCAGGAAGAAGACCAGATAGACGGTGCAGGCATATTGGGAATAATGCCAAATCTTCAGAAAAGTTACATGAATAAAAGTAGTACAAAGAATATCCTATAAGTTTTTATGTAGATTCTTAACATTTTACTTCATTTGTTCTCTTGTGTGCTCTTTCATAATATACAAAAGAATGCATCTCCTTCTCAGGATATCACATGATGTCCATCTGTCCTTCATTAGCAGTGGTAATTTTGATGCACCTCTTCAAGGTTTTATTGAATTTCTCCCATATGTTACTGCTTTTTTCCCCTATGCAACTAACAAAGAGACATTTTAAATCATGAAAATATTCTTTTCATTCAAATTTACCCCTTGGTTTAGCACTCTACTATGATAGCTGCAAAATAATGGTTTTCCAACTTCAACGTGTCCTCCGTATTTACCAATCAGCGTTGACCTTACCTTCTATAGCTTTGAGATTATTTTCTGTGATGAGATATGCAGTCCAAACTACATTACTTTATATGAAGCTGATTCAATGAACACCATTCTCTCTCAAATCTTCTGTTGATATTAGAGATTAAACATAATTATGCCATCAGTTTATTCAATAGTTCAAATTTATCTTGTGGAAAGATGTGTATAGATCTTATTGTGATTCACTTTAATAACATGATAATCATAGTTAATGTCATTTGTTTCTCTCAGTAAAGGCAAAAATTGATACTTATATGGAGAATGTGCTATAAGGGCTTGACCCTGAAAGAGAACTTTCACCACCAAGGGCTTCCCAGAACAGCCACATTGGTGGTCGAAGAAACCAGAGGCAGGGTTGATAGTGCTAGAAAGCCTTTAGGATAAGTTCAGGGGTCCTATTACTGGGCCCAGGGGGTAGCCTGGGCAGAGTGGGGTAACAGCTGCAATGAGTAATTGTAATAGTCACTTGTTAGTAAATACCTGCTTTTGTGCTAGATGTACCTGCACTGTTAGACTTCTTACATGTACTATGTAGTTATCAGAACAGTATAGTAAAGTAGTTCCTATTGCTTTCATTTTAAAAATAGGAAAACTGAAGCTCAGAGAGTTTAAGTGATTTAGGCTTCCTGCCTCAATCTCATTCCACTTTTTAAATATTTATTTGATTTATACCTGGGAAGAGAATAATTCTAAGTTCTGTGCCTTTTATCATCTATACCAGCACTTGCTATTACTCATTTTCAAATGAGAACCCTAGAAATGAGCAATATAAATATTTTGACTTGCTTACCTTGCCAACTGCAATGCAGAATCATATTAGTCCACAGTATAACTGCTGGCAATTCTTGTTGGACCACCTCTTACTGATGCTGCTTTCATTGTTTAAATGCTTTCTTAAATTAGTTCTTCTTCATTTCTCAAATTCCATCCACAAAATAACAGGAAGCAGATCATTTCCAGAGAATTAAATAGATTTCCTTGCTTACATACAATTTTATGACAGTATAAAATTATCCGTTTGTAGTTAGCTCTTTCCGAGAGGGATATTTTTAATACATCAAAATTTTAATCATGATTGCAGTTGGCAGTTAAGATTTAGAGTAATGATTTTTACTGTTTATTTGTATTAGATTGAACTATATGAAACTGCCAATATATGGTTTAAATATCCTAAAGAAAATATTTTATATAAAAGGATGTCTCAGATAGGGCTGACTTCAGGCACAATATATTAGGGCTCTGGCTTCTCTCCTCCATAATCCCTTGGTTCTGCCCTCTTCATGTGTTTCATTTTTAGGCTGATAATAGGATGATGCCAGCAGTTCCTACAATATCATCTAGAATGGTAACTTTGAGTAGAAATTAAGGACTAACTCTCTTGTTTCCATTTCTTCGAAATGAGAAAAATTTCCCCAGAAACTCTTAACAGAGTTGTTTTCTGGAAGTGACTTGCTTCCTGTTATTTGTTTTTGTATTCTATAACATTTGTCATGTGATCGTTTCTAAACTAAACCCTGGGTAGAAAAATGGAAGTACCGTGATTAGCTCAGAATTATCTTTTGAGGTTGAGTAGATATTGAGGAGTTAACTACCATTACCATTGTACCTGGTAATTTAAGAGCTGAAATATAGTCAAACTGTGAAAATTTGTAGGTGTGTGGAAAAAAATAACTTGAGCAGCTTGATTAATAGAACTTCTCTTGAATTTGCTGTTGATATCCTAATTTTGTATATTAAAGTTATTTCTTTTGTTTAGTTATTGAGACATGTTGCACAAAAGCATTATAAAACAGAAACAAATATCAATTCTTTAACTATTGTATAAGATGTTTCAACCTTCCTGGTTAGGAAAACTGATAGGAATTCAAAAGCATATACCAACTAAGTATTACCTTTATTTTTCTCAAATGAAATATTGAGACTATAATTCAATATATTTTATATATTTAATATAATTCAAAAATATTAGAAACAAATACTATAACCTGGCACAAAAATGCAGTTTAAAACAGTGCTTTACATCACAAAATAATAAGTGGGAACAATACATTCTTGCTATTCTGTTTGATTTCTACCAAACAGTAAAATTAATATTATTTTATAATGATGTACACTAAAGGGCATTTTGACAATCTTGATAGCAGCTTCTAAAAGCTAGTAATTCTGTTACTGCAATGCTATTCATATAATTTTTGCCAAATATGTAATTTAAAAAATCCTAAATTTGCTTTTTATATTGTTCTGCTTCATTAAATTTAATGTCATATTGTATGTGTTCATTACATTTGTATTGTGTTACTTGGCTGCAAAATATTTTCTGGTTATTAACATCAGCATATCAAAATCAGAAAGCAGATTTGGTATAAGTATTTAATTAGAAATCCTCATTAAGAAGATTTTATTTAAACAGTTACCAATTTGAAAATAGTTCTGATTTCTCAAATACTACTTTGAATGTGGAGCATAACATATTTTCAGAATAAACACTGTTATTCAAATGTTTATTTTAGATAGAAATAGGTATTTTATGATGCCCAGTGATCTGTTACAGTACTTTATCTAGGTAAAGGGTACTGTGCTTTCTTTTTCATTGCTTCAGCAGATAACAAAGAAAAGCTTTCGTGTACTTTTTTTTTTTTGGTATGTTTTACTTTTTTGTGGACATTGAGCCTTAGAAAAAATTTTGCCTTGGTCCATTAATAATTAGACATCACAATGTGCTTATTGGTTAAGAACGTGTATCTTTTGTATATTAACAAATACTAGGTAACATCAAATTCTGATTGGTGATGCTATTTTCCTCATCTCAGTGAATGGTCTAGAGTTACCCCATCTAACTTGATAGCCACTAATCAAATGTGGCTCTTGAACATTTGAAATGTGACTGGTATGACTGAGGAACTTTTTAATTTTATTTACTTTTAGCAAGTTGAAATTATAATTTAAATTGCCAGATTTGGCAATGGCTATTGTGTTGGACAGCACAGACCTAGAGCAAAAATGTTTGATTGATCTGGTTTAAACTAATTCTATTAAAGAAAAACTCTTATACAACAATTGAATTACAAGTTTCTGTTCATATAGCAGTTGA